CACAGCACACACACTGATGCTGCTTCCTGTCATTTATTAATAGCGAAAACTACAAGTCATCGAATTTTTATATTTTAATTTTAATTTGCTAGACACGCAGGTTTTTTGACGATATTTTCTTTCGAAACATAATAGTGAAGTGCTCATATTCTGAGCTATCACAGCTTACAGCAACGTCGATGAAAAAGCCATCCGCAATATTTCGCTGTGTTTATAAGATGAATTTGATATCTGACACGTTGCTGAAGATTGGCAAACCTATTGTTGCAAACATACACAAAAATTAATTCCTAAGGAAATGCTTTCTTCTTATTGCTTTTAATTTTGAATTATTTTATATAGTATGAGCTGTGTTAGCTTAGATGGTTAGCGCTCGCTGTAAATTTCACAATACGCGAGCAAACCGGGTTCGATCCCCGCTGATTTACCACGTGCTCGGCCGTGAAGGAAAACATCGTGAAGAAACCTGCATGTCTGAGAAATAAGAAAAAAAAGTTCGAAGACATGTGAAGTTCGCCAACACGCATTGGGGCAGCGCGGCGGACACTTTCTTGCCGTAAAACCTCACCTCTCAGAAATGAAGGGACGCCTGTGCCCAGCAGTGGGACTATATAGGATGTAACTTTAACTTTTATATAGAGAAGCTTATCAATGTTAAGGTACGACAGTATCCTGACATATTTTGGCTTGGTTCTCAACATTCAATTATTGTCAGACGTCAGAGTATACTTGCGAGTTTTAGGTTCGAATTTCAGTGCAAGGCAAATTAAATACGATTTAGCTAAACCGGCAAACAAAGTTAGGACCGTGTCTCTGTTTCAAAGTCTACTTCTTAGTTGGAATATTAACTATTCACTATTAAAAATTGGGACGTAACATCAAGAGAACAGTTACTTATAATATAAGAACGATGCAATTTTTTTAAACTGCTAATTCAATGCTAACCTTATCTGCATTTAAACTCTGGGATCTTATTCAGGACTTAAAATTGATTAGTATGATTTGCTTTTAGGGTAACGCGAACGCCCTTACTACGTTGGTAGAGCGATGTGGTAGTCTCATAAACTGTCAATTAATACTACAACATTCTAGCCTATTACAAATATAAGGGTAAAACTAATCACACTAATTACATTTTATTATTTAAAAACTATAAAAAGACAATATCAAATATTTTGATATGTATAACCAACTGTCATGTTCCTTAATGTTCGTATGTGTATATTTTATTTTATTACATAGAATAGGGTGACAAATAAGCACGCAGTCCATCTGATGGCGAGTGAATGCCGTGGCCCATAGATATTTACATTTATCCTTAATTGGGAATCCAAATGCCGATGCGTTGTGACCCCTGAATACTTAGATGGAATGTCTTGTTTAATTCCGGTAAATCTTCAGTTCTCTAAATACACCATTCGAAAGCAGAATTAAGCTGCTATTTTATGCTGGTATTCTGTGAGGCGTGGTACTACCCAGGTTGGGTCGAAACATTCGCGTTACAGCCATAATATTGTTGGATCGGGGCGCTACGTATATGCGGTAACTGTAGTCCATTGGGACTCAGATAGAGAACATTCTTAACAAAAGTATTGAATATCTAATGGAAGGGTGCTGATTGATGCCTTTTTTCCCGCAAAATAAATTCTATTAATTATAAATATTTAATTTAGTAAACAAACACATTTTGAAAGCTTTGTACGTAGTAGAGCCACAGGAATGGGTCGACTCAATAGGGGAAGTACTACGGCCTTAGGCCGTATATACCGCCAGAATACCAACGTAAAATAGCAGCATAATTTTTCGTTTCTTTATTAGAATCGAGGCATTCCATCTTAGTATTGAAGGGTAAAAACGCATTTACCTTTGAATTCTTAAGCTATAATAGATGTTAGTGTCTACGGTCCACAGGGCCCACTCAACATCAGGCGAAGTTTGGATTTGTTTGTCACCCTCTTACTTCTATGAGAGAGTCTCTTTTTTAAATTATCTAGATCAGGAGTGACGTTAAGTTGTTAATTTAGGCCTTTTTATTTATAAAAAACCTTGTATTTACGATCAGGACAATCCTTCCACCACACTTCTAATCGAAAGTTGCAAATCTAGATGTTACGAAAGTATTGCACTAAAATTAGTCTTACGAGCAAGGGATTGCTTTGAGTTCTTCTGATAAGTAGGTATACATACTTTTTCTATTTAAAGTGTACGTCAATATAACGTTAAACTCTTCTCCTTGAAATTTGTACGTAAGCTTGCAAGCGTTACTCAACAAATTAGGCCTTGCACATAGTTTCACTTTTGAATCTCATATATATTGTAGCTTTTTGATTAGTTGTTTATTTTTAATTTGATTCATAAACGTAAAGTTTCAGTTCACTTAAGATTTCATAGTATTGATAAAGCATAGTCATGTAGGTACCTAATTTCTTATATTAGGTAATTGACTCTACCTTTAATTTTTACATGAAAAATGAAAATATGATTTTCCATTTAAAGTGTTATTTTGCTTTATATTGTAATGTTATTTAAGACGTAAAATCTTCTCATAATGTTTTCGACTCTACAAAATTTTATCCTTTAATTCAATATACCAATTTTTAGTATAGCTCTACATTTTTTTTTCCGGTTTGCATATTAGCTCTTGATTTTATAAAGAAGTAACATTGATAATAAATTACTGTTTTAAATATTTTGTTACTTAACTTATTAGGTTCCTATAGTCAGAGTGATTTTCAGTCCAAGAATCGTATATAAGTTCAAAAATTGTGGAATATATTTCGTTATAGGATAAGGGTGACTAACGAGCACACAGTCTACCTGATAAGTGAATGCTGTGGCCCATAGACATCTACATCTATTCTTGATCACGAATCAAAATCTCGAATCAAGATGCGTTGGCATCCAGATGAATGTAATCTAAAACTGAGATGGAATGCCTCATTTAAAAAAAAAAATGGTCCCGCAGCGTTGATTTGCTGTTTTACTGTGAGTATGTGGCTGGTATTCTGTGAGAGCGTGTTCCTACCCCGGTCAAGCGGACCCATTTTGTGCTACAACTACACTAATAAAATAGCTACAGCATGGCTCTACCACGTAAGAAACATTTAATTTAAATCCTAAATAAATCAATGCTCTACTGATACTGGTATATAGGCCTTCCCCAATTCGTGGGGGGCATATTTGGCGTAGTTGCCACACTTGGCAAGCGGGTTGATAACCGCAGATTTTTTTTTGAGTATTTTTAACTATGTAATCAGGAAGATGCTTCTCCCTATGTCTTTTTTTTGCGCCCGAAGCAAATATGGGCAACCCTCCAGAAAGCGGGGGAGGGAGGCGGTGAATGCTCATAGCATACCACGCAGCCGGCTGCGTGGTTATGTGGAGACTTTTACCCACTAAACACCGCCTTTTAGGGTGTTTAGTTCCCTATAGTTCCCTATGCCCCGTTTCCTTTGCCACAGTAGCATTCTACTACACCTACAAGGAAATATGGAGCAGATTCTCTTAGGCTGGCGCTATAGGACGAAAAAATATTTTGTGAATATTAAATTTTGAGAAAGAAAATTTCTTAAATATTTTTTATTATTTGAAATTTCTTCTGTGATCCATTATTTCTATTAAAAGATAGAGTATAAATATTTAATTTTGTACCTAATTATTTTATAATTGTTGAAAGCATTTTAAGTTTTAATTGGACACAGGTAGCTTTATCAATTATTTTAATCTGTTTAAAAAACTGTGTGCAAATATGTTTCAGTGGCTCTAAATTGGTCTATAATAATATGGACAACAAAAAAAAATCTCTGTGACACTTCCCGCCCTTTTTATAATCGTGTATTTGTTTAAAGAGGTGTATGCAATAAAAATGTGAGCGTGTCTCTGTACCAGGAGCCATTCATTCGTTTGATGACTTCATTTGGAAGCGCGAACCGAGAGCTCTTGCGATAATGCGCCATTGTTTACCCTTCAATAGTGCGCTTCAAACTGCACGCGCCTTACTGTGTTAGAAAGGAACAGTTATACATACTCCGCTCGGACAAGATTACATGCGTTTCACAAATAACGTCCGTCTCGCTCGCGATAACGGATTTGCCGTAAGAGTGATAGCGACGGCGACATCAGTCGTAAAAACAGGTAGTAGAAGAAATAATAATCATCTTTACGACTTCTCACTCTATTCAGCACCTTGTTACGATACTGCGCTCATTGTGGCCCGGCTGAAGAGCGGTTGTAAAATCTTTTCTTTACTCAACCGTTTCACTAATTGTACGTTTATGAGTTTACGACTTTTGTGGTTTAAGTTTACTGAATATCATTATTGTGCTTTGTCGGTAATTTTTTTTGGTTGTTGCGTATGACACTTTGTTGAAACGATTAGCTACTTGACTCTATTGTCATATTTTATGGTATGGTCAATTATGCTAATTGCATTTTTCTCTAAAAGCTGAAGACTTTTCTCTAAAAGCTGTCTTCTAAGAAAACTTTAGATGTTAGCGAGATCGTTTAAACACGGAGATTTTTTAATGAGCTTACCACGTGTTCGAGTGATAAGAAATAGAAAAGAGAGCGTAACTGATAATATATATAGTGATTAGCGAAAAGGGGACGGAACAATGGTCGGTGTAGAGACGGCAGGCGGCGTGCGGGGCGGCGCGCGTGTTGCTCCGAGACTCCGAGTCGCAGTAGACTGCGTGAGCCGAGACACGCCGGTCGCTCTCGACACTCGCCCGACACTCGCGATACCAAAACTTCGCTCGCGTCTGCCGACCACGAAACCCTGACCGACCGCAAGCGATACGACCTGTAAAACTCGGCACGCGCTCTCCAAGCCTTAAACGTAAACATCCCACACGCCTTTATCACCGACTAAGCCCATTATGACGCTCAAGTGACGTTTTATAGGCAATAAAATTAATAGTAATTTCGTGTTATCACGGCGCGCGGGACCGCGATGACATAAGTGTCTAACTGAGTGACGTTTGTGCCGGTGACTGTTCAAGATGAACTCCTATTTCGAGCAGGGTGGTTTCTACGGGGCGCACGGCGTGCACCAAGGCGGCGGTGGTGGCGACCAGTATCGGGGCTTCCCACTTGGTTTGACTTACGCACAGCCCCACGCGCTACATCAGCCACGACCCCAGGATTCACCTTACGATGCCTCAGTGGCGGCTGCGTGCAAGCTGTACGCCGGGGAGCAACAGTATGCTAAAGCGGACTGTTCGAAGGCTGGTGGGGAGCAACAAAATGGTTATGGTGGAAAGGAGGCATGGGGTTCTGGTTTAGGAGCGTTGGTTAGACCTGCTGCCTGCACTCCAGAAGCCCGATATAGCGAGTCATCAAGTCCGGGTCGGGCCTTGCCCTGGGGAAACCAGTGTGCGTTACCTGGAGCTGCGGCCAGCACGCAACCCGTTCAGCATCAACCCACCAACCACACCTTCTACCCTTGGATGGCCATTGCAGGTGAGTTTTTTTAATTCACAGAAAAACTACCTCTTGGTCTTTAATTCCTGTTTATAGTAACCACAATACGTATATATAATTTGTATAAATTGTTATTTAACCCGTATTGCGTCCTTTAAAAACTAAGGTATTATATAATATTAGTAGACCATAGATTTTTTTTTCGCAGTTCTGAACATAGCCACATCATAAAAAACGTAATTTACAAAAAATAAAAAATAAGCACAAAATAAATCCTTTTTACCAAAAAACCAATAGGCCTGGATAAAAAATCTAAATATAAAAAATTCCTCCACTGAAAGCTCTAAAATGGCGCTGTTCAAAATTTCTCTTCGATCGACACCATGAATGTACTACTATAAGATACTAATAAGAAAATCGTTAAATTCCATCAGGTAGCAAATGATAATATGTCAAGTATCAATAAAACGCACATAAAATAAACGACCCTCGTTAACACCATATTAGTGCGACAGATTTGAGTGCCATTCGTAATTTATTGCTGACATCGAAATAAACATATCTTTTTATTTTTGATTTTTGATCTTGATTTGCACAATATGAACTATGTATTAACAAAAGATTGATGTGTACATTGATCAGGTAGGATATATCCAAAGATGTGCAAAAAGAGTAAAATAGTTTCTCATAAAATATCTTAAAATATTTTTTTCATACAAGTAATTTATGCTTAAGAACGTTCACTGGAGCTATAATTATAAACCGGTTAACAAAAGTTTATTATTACTCTAGGTATTTTAATTAATTGGTTATACAAAGTATAGCTTTTTTAAATTGTTTTTTGAAAATAGACGCTATTTTACCACAACCTGTCTTTCTTAATATGTGAAATCGAAAGAGTTTGTATAAATCTAATTCGTTTCTATTATATAATAAAACATATTTATAAGTAATAAAATTAATAGCGACCATTAAAACAAAATAAATGAAAAAGGTAATAATATTATAACGTAGATAGATAATATAGCTACTATCTTATCTTTTCTCAATTTAATCTATTGTACTTCAAGAGTAAATTAATTTAATAGGTAGCTTTTATGCATCGCACTCTTAAATAAGTTAATTGATTAGCATATTTTAGGGTGTAATAGGTACTAAATAAGAAAAAAGAGCAGAAAGTATCTCTTGGTATATTTTTTTATATTTAACCCAATATTGAGAGTTGTCGATTGATGAAGATAATTGTTAATTACCACAGGGTTATTTTGCTATAATCGGACAAATTTTCGGAGAAGGTTCCGAATAGGTAATATAGGCAAATGCTAAAGAAAAATTAATTAAAAAAACCTCAAATTTCAAAATGCGTGGTAATGCATTATTTTAACTGACATTACACATTCGTAAGGGTCAATCTATAAGATAATATCAAATAAAATTAAAATTATAAGTTACTCGTATTTTTTTGTATATAAAATCGTTAATATTTATATAAAAGTACGCACTTAAATAAAATATTTTCTTGGTACTTTCCTTGATTTCCTGTAACTTGATCTAAGTATATAATGTACTTTCATAATAAGTATTTAAACTCAATTTGTTACACACTATTTAATTATCGGGTATCATCTTTGGTACTACTATTAATATTGAAATTAAGAGATTTATTTGAGCAAATTACGATCATATAAAGAAATGTAGAGGTATAAAAAGCATTAAGCTAAAATCCTACATGTAAATAATTCGTTACCTATATATTAATTAAAAACATATGTAGACATATCACCCATGTATGAGTACCTAACATATACAAGTAATGAGAAGTACACAAATATAATATTAGTAAGTACATACTATTTATAGGCTGTGCTAATACCATATGAGTAAATAGTCCTTACTGTATACTAATACTATTAATGTATTAGACGTTATTAAGTCCTTCTTATTCTTATAAGATAAACTCCAGTGATGTGAGGTTTTAGCGCTCCTCCGAGGGAGCGCGCGCGCATTTCGCCCGCCCGGGTCAACGGCCCGGTCTAGTTTGGGTTATTATTATTGAGTGTCCAATCTGACCAATCAACACACAAAATATTGCTGTTGTTATATCCATAAATGCCCAAGGACAACATTAACCGCATTATCGTGATCGTCCTATAGTGGCGATAAAAATCAAATCTTGCCTATGAGTGTTTCTGTAAAAATGTCGTGAGCACGTGGGCATACATATTTTAAGTAATATCTAATATCATATTTCAACCATAACCCCTATGATATTATTATTAGAAATCAATCCAATAAGGAGATCGTAGTGGAATTCCAAACACAAAAAGTACTATCGCCTAACCTTTACCGAGTCGGGGGGACATCACTACCGTAATTAACACGGCGCGTGTGGTCCCGCTTCTCATAACTCATGCAACTTGATAAAATTAAGTAATGCGGTCGAAAAAAAACTAAAGTAAGTAGTCGCTACGTCAGCCATATTTCACTCGAGGTTCACGCAACGCGGCCCGCGAAAACAATACAAGGCCGTGGACGTGGGTTGTTTGAGAAGTTAGGACCAGCACTCGCAGTTCCGCTCTCCTTGCTTATATAGCGATTTCATGAACATGAACTAAATTAGGTGCCCCGCCGATCAAAAAGGCGAGAAATAAGTTTTCTAGTTTTATCTAATAAACAATTTTTTTATGTATTATAATAAAGAAAAAATAATTTTGATTTTTTTTAACAAATATAAATTGAACTATGAAGTTTATAATATTTCATATTATCAAAATAATATCATAAGGAATTTTAAATTCAATATTCAATTTTAACATACTGTAACCAGACTCGACTCCGCTTTCCTGGCTTCGGAGCAATTTCATGAACTGATTTTCTGATTTTGTCGATTTTATTAAATGTTTAAGTAAATCACTGATTCTCGGCCTATTAAATAAAATAAAATCAAAAGGTTTTTAGTTTTATCTAATAATTAAAAACTTAAAATATTTTTATCCACTGTATTATAGTTAAAAATTAAAATGTATAATATGTTGATTTTTATATACATAAATTTAGTAATTAAATAATCTTTAGAGCCAGGTTAGCAGTTTTTATATTATTTCATGTTACCAAAAATCAGAATATTATTAAGGGAATTTTAAACCTAATATTCCATTTTAATATCTCGTTTATAATCTTTAACCTTTGCAAGTAAGTAATTCTAATAAAAAAAATCTTGTTTAAAATGATAAAATACATTTGAAATAACTTATTACTGTAACGAGACTTCATAGTCTCGTTACAACAAACAATAAATTATCTTCAGTACCTATGTATCATACGTTGACAGGTAAATTGAAAAAAAAAATGTCTAGAACAAAATGTCAGTAGAGTATTACCCACTTAAAATGCATTGGTACATACCGTAAACACAGGTGGGTCGTTTTATTCATGTTTTTATAGTAAACAATTTTTTATTAAACAACCCTTTATAATTTGTACAAAGAGACGCTTAAAAAACTGTCTGTATTCCTTCTTTCACCTATATTCATTATTGTTCTTATGGAGATCCGTTTAATTTTGGTATGAATCCATTATTCTGTAATTTATTTACGGCGTATCGAAAGGCCACAGAATCCATCAGTCGATACACAATCCCTTTGAACTAAAATAATATCTGAGATTGCTAATTTAACTTGAATACTAATCCAGGCAACTGCGGCCATCAGGTTCCACCAGTATAAGTACAGTTTTTTGTCTTTAGCTTTTGTTTATTTGTTCAATCACGCACTAAGTGCTCCATAAAGGTTAGATTTACTAAGAAAACACCGTTGTTAAAATATAAGAGTTTGCATCCCATAATATTACTCTAAACATCATGAGGTAATGCAGGTAAATAAACATTTTTAGTTATAAAGATCTTAAGTTCACTTAACAATATTTTTTAACATTAGTTCTACGAAATTATTGGAGGCTTTTAAATTTAATTATGATTTTTTTTTCAATAAAGCTTATTACATTTATAAGTATTCCAGATATTATTTTATTTTGATTTACAAAACATATGTTTTTTAGAATAATAAACACATAAAATCAATTATTTTACAACTTTCAAAAAGCTTTTGTATTTTCCTCTGTTCTGTTTTTAATTAAAATTTACAAAACGTGTTTATAAACTGAAACACAAATAAGAAGAGGCCGATGCTAATTTGTAATCATAATGTTTTTTTTAATAACGGAAATGACAAAAGGATTTATAGACCACAAGATGGTATGTGGCCTCTGTTCTATGGACACCTGCGCCAAAGAAGGCTACGTCGTTGTCGCCGCTGAAGTCTAGATGGGATGTTTCACAGTGTTTAAAGTGACTCCCTATGCTCTATAGGCAGAAAAACCATATACATATAGCAGTTAAAGCACTAGCTACTATTTTGCGGTGGAAAAAGGTACTACCATCTACCCAGAAGGTTAAAAAGAAGTCCTACCATCAAATGAAATCAAAATACGGTAGACTATATTTTATACGTGGTAGAGCCACGTTGCTGCTATATTAGATATGGTTGCAGCACGAATAGGTCGACTCGACCGGGTGGACCACGCTCTCACAGAATAACAGCTTAAAATCTTTAAGCTATTATTCTGTTTTAGTGGTGAGTGTATTGAACCGGAGACCCTTTTTACAGGAAACGAGGCATTCCATCTTAGCCTCAGGGGTGACACTGCATCTGCATTTTAATTCTTAGTCGAGGATAAATGTAGATGTATATGGACCACAGCATCTATTTACCATCAGGTGGACTGTGTGCTCGTTTTTCACCGTAATTCTATAAAAAAATCTAACTTAAGGTATGTACGTATTGAACTTTTATGGGGTAGAGCCACGCTGACGAGTATTATGACTGTATCACTGGGACGACTCCAACGGGGAAGAATAACACTCACAGAATAACAGCGTGAAATACCAGCAATTGCACATCGCTTTCTTATGGCTGAGTAGCTATCACAGTAAATCCTTTTTTTTAATAACGACACATTGTTAGTGATCATCGATGGTAACAACGCAATCGCAAAA